AAGCGTATCCCATTTTGGTAAACAGAGTTTGCGCAGGAAAACTAATCACATTTTTCTAACGTGTACGGTAAATATATCATAAAAGGTTTTTAATTTCAACACGTCGCCTGTACCGCATTGCGGCATCGGCGAGTTCCAAATTCGGGAAGTCACGTCATTGTCGAGGCATTGTAACGTCAAGTCACGTAAAATGGTGTGTAAGATAGAAATATCCTACACCCCTTTCTTGCTCTGGAAAGCTCTATCTAACACACAGAGAAATGAGAGAAAATAGTTAATTGATTGACAGGACCTATTAATCCTGATTGTTTGTAAGTGTGAATGGTTAAAAAGGACGAAGTCAGACTTTCCGTCGTACCAATGGCAGTGTATTGATAGCTAACAATATACGAGACAGGAAACACGTCTTTGCCAACATTATTGGCAGTATTAAAGAAATGGACACTACGGAGAGTTGACGGTAAACCACGAGGCTCCCTTTAATCGACCTATCGCCAATATAAAAGCGCTAAACGTCACTGTAAAACGATTCAAAGTAGAGCATATGAGGAGCATCAGCAATCCCTATATCAGAACTTGAACGACGCAGTAGATTGTAATAATGCAACATTCTGGCAGGCTTTGAAGAAATTAAAAGGAACGTCCTTCACTAAATATTCAACCATGAAAGTTCAGGGCGAGTTACTAAGGTCACCTGAAGATATTGCGGAAGCTAATTTTGGAACATTTTTAAATGTGACATTGATGCATCGGACTTGATACAATGTGAAATTACAACTGACCCCATGTCTGTTTTGGATACGGATGAACTAAATCGGAAAATCGTGTTTAATGAAATTGAATGTGCTCTAAGAAAATTAAAGTTAAAGCACCCGGAACCGATGGTGTTCGCAATGAACATCTACGTTATGGAGGACGAACCCTGATACTATGTTTAAAAAAGCTGTACACCAAATGTATCGAACTTGCTCACGTACCTGGTATCTGGAAAAGAGGCTTAATTATTCCTATTCACAAAGGTGGTAACAATTATCGGTGTGATCCCGCTAATTATCGACCAATTTCCCTGTTATGTTGTTCCTACAATTTATTTAAAAATGTCATCAGCAATCGGATACAGGCCTCCCTTGTGGCTTCAGTCCTTCCCTTCCCGAATCCACAACAGAACGGTTTCCGCAAATATTTAGGATGTACGACGGCGTCTTTCTCTCTCCAGGAGACGATTTACCATAACCTTGAGTTAAACAGCACCATTTATTTAGCCTTTCTCGATATTAAAAAGGCTTTCAACACTGTTTGGCACGCAGGGCTAATGGCAAAAGTAAAATATCTTGGAGTCAATGGACAACTCTTCCAGTGTATTCGCGAGTCGTACACCGATATGGTGAGCGCTGTGACGTGGCAGGGAACGACGTCACCTTGGTTTCCTCTTGAGTCAGGGGTTTGACAAGGAGGAGTACTGTCCACATTTCTATACCAAACATTCATCGATTCCCTTTTTGCAAGTAAGAGAATAGTAAGCTTGGTGCTAAATTTCAATGCTTATTAACTGGAAATCCGACGTTAGCCGACGACATATCCTTGATCACAACTTCCCCGCTTTCACTTCAAAAGCTTCTCAACATTTGCTATAAATACAGTTGTGATTGGAAATTCGTATTTAATCGCTCAAAGTGTAAAACCTTTGTTATTGGAAATTACATCCCAAGACAGCCTGACGCTAGTTGGATGCTTGGTCCTGTCTCTATTGAGACCACCTCTTCTCAACTTCATCTAGGAACTATTGTAAGCTCACAAATGTCTAACGCCGAACGCATCCAGGCTGCGTGTTACAAAGGGAGAAAGACGGTTCATTCTATCATAGGGCTTTGTCCCTCAGCATGTGATATCAATCCTCTAGTAAAAATCAGTCTTTATAAGAATGGATGTGAGCACTGGGTTCAACTCGGTAATACCTACCTCGCGAAACGTAGTCGCTTTCAACATTACGCTGCTAAGGTCATTCTTGGAGCTGATCGTCGTGCCAGGTCAGATATTGTTGAGCCTATACTTGGTTTGATTATAATTTCTGCAGATATTGATAAGAGGAAGCTAATATTCCTGGGAAAGCTTGTTCTCATGGAGCAGTCTCTCTTAACTAAGCAGTTCCTCACAAGAAGACTATATTCATTCCTTCATTTGCAAACGGAAAATATTAGAAGTGTTCTTGAAAGAAGGTTTGTTCCGGATATTGTGCAGATAATCTATAAATATAACCTGTCGTCTTACTTGGATGCATACCTTCGTAACTACACGTTCCCTGTAAGCTTCAGTGGAAGGGAATAGTGAGAAATGCCATAATGGCTACAGAGAACCTGGCCCTAATCTTGATACATTTAGGAACTGTAACTCCTCCTACAACCCTTACATTATGTTGCGCGACGCAGAATCTAACAAAAACATAGAAGCAATGTACTCATTGTGCAGATAATTGGCAAAGCCTTTGGCTCCTGACCAGAACTTTTGCTCCAAGTATTCCCAACATTTCTGTGACGTCATATCTCACCATTGCTGTACCTGTGAGTACACCAGTGAACTTCGGGCTCATTTCCTTCAGATGACCCTGTATAAGTTTAGATTGAATGTGTTCAATTCCATTGATCAACATGACACTGCTACCTTTGTTCAAAATTTATTAGTTCCCAATTTCAGGATGACACAACACAAAAACTGTTTCTGATGCATGCAGCATATTTGGTGGGCGCGCTTCGCGAACTAACGACAATAGATTGATTTAAGACACCATGACTAGGACTGTTACTGTCGTTCGCAAGGAAAGTTTTTTAGCTGCTGCGCCCTATCGCGGTATTTTCTGTCCTTTTATGTTATTTTTGATTTTTTTTCTTGTACACAAATATCTCCTTTTTGGAGGAAATAAAGTTTGATGATGATTACCTGCTCATTAAAATACTGTTTAAACAAAACAAATGGTATCGACAGCAAATGTATAGGTTAAGTTTAACTGGTAAAATAGTCTATAGATCGACCTGTCCAAGCTGAACATGGTTCATAATACTCATTGAGATACTTATTAAAACAATGTAGAGGCTAATCAAGTGTTACCTGTTTATTACCTGTATGTTCATGAATTTGAAGCAGTTAATGATATGTTTAACCAGAATATAAATCTAAGTTTAAGTCATTGTTTTTGTACCTCGATGAAACCACGTGACAATTAAATATCGACTAAAGACAGGCCTCTTCAAATTTCCTCCACGTCATTGAAAAATAACATAATTGAATGATTTTTACCGATATACCTACTAGCGCAATAAATTCTTGTTTGTCACAAATTCATAAAAATCACGTACTTATTTTCTATGTAGCATACATCAAGTTAAAACAAAGGTATGCCTCTATGGGAAGAGGTATGATTTTGTCCTGATGATAATAAAATCACCGAGGAGTATCAGAGACTTCTTAGAGTTGTCCTTCTTACTACGTGTAAGTAATGTTCACTATAATGCTACACGGTAATTTCCCTTACGAATGGAATTCTACATTATCACTGTTTTTGTTTGCTCTAATCATTGGCTCTTATTTGCTGTACATTATGAACGCATTAATTGATAAGCGTAATATACAATCTCTAGACAAAACTCAATAAGAGATATTTAATGATATCTTGGTAGCTTTTTGAATCACGCCACTTTTTATTATAAGATTTAACTCAACCACCGTGATACAATAGGTTAATACATATACATATGTCAAGGTCGTGACTGTTCCAGTATGCTCACCAGCAGTGTAATATAGTGAAGCAGTGCCTTATAAAGATATGAAAACGAATAAAGGTTGCCGGATAATTGTTATTGATAAAGGTTATTTGTTAACAAGAACTTTCATTATCATCTCGATCGACTACATTACACAATTGCCATTCTCTTTGAAGTTTTTTTTTTTTTTATATATATGAGAGTAAAATGAAGCCATATGTTCATTTTGATAGAATATATGAAAAATAAATCAGAATTGTTTTTTTTAATTTTTCCAACATGTTTCGTATCCGGAGTTGTATATCCACCAGATTAGTTAAGTAAACATTGAATATGATGTGTATAATACCTATACTGTACCTTTACTGAAACTATCATGGAACAAACTATCATATCCTCTGCAGTGCCTTTTAGACAACATGGCTTAAATCATCCCAGAATTCAAATAAGGTTGTTGTATGCGCCAACATGTCTCAGTATATTTGCTTATTAACCTGTAAATAAGTAATAAACGGAGTGCTTCCGAACGTCATAAATATGACAGCTCGCGCTCACGGTGGTAATTCCCACCGGCGACTCTGAAAGTTGTCTGAGAACAATTGATTTTGTCCTTTGATACTGTGTTTTCTCTTACAAAAGTACAATTTTAAAGTAAAATATATTCCTTATTAAGCATTTTATTTTATGCAGGTAGCATGCGCTCATGTCGACTGTCCGGGTTTCACGTAACAAAATGTGTAAAGCCCGGGATAATAACAAAAGATATATTTGTCTTCATGTAAAATAAAAGTAGGTCAGTGACACTCGTTAACAAGAGTGGGTTTGCCGTACAGCACGTGTGGCCGTGTGTGATTTACTATATAGACCTCTCTGTGTTGTAAGTAGGGTAAATCTACATAAGTCACAATTCATGTCAATAAGTCAGCATTTACATTCAGTCATCTCGCGTTACCTTTTAAAATAAATTCCTCAGACACGATCGAATAAAATCACAAATATTTTAATTAAGTTTTGCAAACAAAATGAGAAAATTAATCAAAGCATGAAATAACATGTAAACACGCAGGATAAACTTCTAACTTAAATATACACCAAGCTTATCAACACGATAGCTTCTTATAAAACAGGCTGGAGAATGCGGACCTTTAAACCAGGCACGGTTTTCATTTTATGAATAAATACTGAGAAGTGATATACTTGAGTGAGTTTTGGCGATATGCCCGTGCATGTTTGTACAGACATAGGTGGACCCGATTGTTCCGCGGAACAAAGTAGTCCCAGTACTAGTGTAAACTATTTTCTATTGATCGGTTTAAAGCTATCGAGACGTGTGATCGTAGACGTGGGTAGCGCTTTCATTTCGCCGCCTTATAACGGTGTAGTGGCTTTATACACAGGTGTGTACCGGTAATGTTTACAGGTAGATATACCACGTACATAGAATCGGAGACCTATAGCACTCGCAAGCATCTTTTATCATACAGTTTGTATATTATATACCGTCTTAAATCTTCATAACGTGACAGGTTGACTTAACCGGTTAGATCTACCCACGTGTGTCTCGGTGGATGAAAGTATACCTGTCCATTGGAATAGTGTAGCAGACCCTGTGTGATACGGAGGTGCATACAGCTCCACTATAACAGGTGAATATATTGCCAACAAGTAGATATAGCTCGTTTAATTAAGATTACTTGTTATTTGTTATTCATACCTTTAAATGTATATGTATATAATCCTACCAAATATTATCCTAACTAAAGTTTTCTCTGTATGAATAATGTATAGAGGATATGCTGATGTTAAAGCCGTTCAGAAACATTTAACCACCATACTATGGATGTCTTTGGATATGCAAACTAGGACATGTTATTTTACTTCAAGTAATCAATCAATATGAGGTGTATTCGAATGGGTGCTATCCCATGTTTACCTGAGAGAAGTTTATCATGATATGCGGATTAACAAAATGCAACTTAATGATGCGTTTAAATATATGCTAAATGAAGATAAATGTGAGACAATAAATCTGTTTACCGCCAGGTATCCGTTAAAATCACTCCACTGATTGATGCTGTTCCTGAAGAATCGTTAAACTCAAACACTTGTATCTACTAAAGCATTTATAAAGAAACGTTGAAATGTTTAATAATGCATTCTCTCCGAATGTTTTCCTCGGATTAACATATGAAGTACATATTGTGATATAGAAGTTTAGTGGACGCTCACGCTTGTAAATGAACGATTCGTTTATTTGTGACACTACTTTCATGAATAATACTAGATTTGAAGTCCATATTTGCAAATCAATAATCGTATCTGTTATCTTCTCTCCCAGTGTTTTCCTCGGATTAACATATGAAGTACATATTGTGATATAGAAGTTTAGTGGACGCTCACGCTTGTAAAGGAACGTTTCGTTCATGTGTGACACTACTTTAATGAATAATACTAGAATTGAAACCTTTATATTTGCAAATCCATAAGTGTATCTGCTATCGACCCATACTTTTGTCGACATCAATTTCAATTTCAACAAATTTTATTGACAATATAAGCATTAGTCAATAGGATCAGACATCAGACATAGCCTATCTAAGTCCTTTTGTCGACATACGACAATAGACAATTATTATACAGATATATATTATATATCAGACTATTATTGATGTATCATGTATTATACTACTTTTGTATAGGACCATTATTTACATCCGTCTTAACGCATGTCAAAGCACGTGTAATAATCGATACCATTACCTGCCCTGTGGACAAAGATAGTGACCATCAGCTGCGGACACCTTTAGCTTAAAGTCATATCAAGTTGAATTCAAAATTATGATATTTTGTTTATTCTGAAAGTCAGAAAAAAGTCGGAAAAGGCCCCCTTCAGGCCAATAAGAATATATGATCAGTGCATAGTAATGACATAAATGTTTTGAAAAATAGTTTCATTTAAGAGTTTTTTCTTATGTATGGTAACCTGACGATGCTTGTTTCAGATGTTCAATGCCCTTTGCTTTGTCCATCTCACCGATAAAACAATGAGTACTATTGTCCATCTACAAAAGTAGCTAACACACAGAGGGACAGTGCTTAAAGGGTCCCCTAGGCGGCGTTAGTACGTTAAATGATGAAATATTCATTAAAACAGGGCGACATTAAATGGAACTTGCTTTTATGACAATATGTCAATAATTGTTCAGTTGTAGCACAATGTCTCGAGGACGTTTTTGTTCCTTTTATCGTATATAAATCCCTTCTGGAGCACACAGTTTCACATCCAATTGAAAATGTAGATACTACAATCTTTTAGTTTCGGTTTAAAGAGTAGGTCTATGACATTCTTTTTGTTTTAGTTTAAAGAGTTGTCTTTTCATTGTAGTTTCTCCTCTTTAGTTCCGTTTGTATCAACCTCGCATTGCCCTAGTGTATTGTATACATCTGCCAAATCAATAGTCAGTTTAGTTAACAAACAGCAACAACAGAAACACTCCCAGGTTTGTTAAAACTCACATAAAGTGAAACGTTAATTAAACTGCCTCTATTATGAGACCTGCATCAAGAGTTTATATTTTAAAGCAAGTATTTCTGTTTTGAAGAAGAAAAGGTAAACTGCAATGTTCATATATATCATAAGCATCAAGCTAGTTGTGGAGTATGATCTTCAACAATTATTGGATGTAGAACAATGTGTCACTGCATCAGTACAAACTATTGAAACTGCATGGTTGCTTATAGATTCAAATTGAAAACAATATGAACTGAACAGAGAAGAGACATTGCAATGTCACGATGTCTCTATCACCACCTGTGAGATCTGTCACGATGTCTCCCGCAGACAAAGTCTTGACCTCTTAGCATCTAATGTCATGGTTCGTCTACGTCAGCAATCTCAGAGTGTCTTCTAACATAACATTAATGTAAAATCGGTATTTAAAATCTATATCCTAGCTCGGACTGAGAACTCCTCGTCATAAATATTGTCAGAAGACATTACCTGTATGTCCAAGGGCTACCTTGCTAATTGTAGACTCAGTGTAAACTCCATTATGACCGGTAGCGGTCTTGTGGATAAAGCTACATTCACGGCGTTCGTCAGTGTCGTATAGACGTGAACGGGGTGTTATTTAAACAGTATTCTGTCAGTGTTTGATTTCACAATGTTAAATATTATTTGTCGTTTTTGGTAAATGGTGTAAATGGAGTAAATGTTGCGCTGTTTTGTTCGTAAAGGTTACATTTGTCAATGATATAGAAGGTGTGTTCGGGGCAATGTTTGTGAATATGTTCATGCCATTTCGGAAGCCATAACTTCGACATGTGTGAAAAGCATTCAGTTCTAATTATTGTGGCTTTCTTTTGGTCTAGTTTGAATGGTTTGTAGTGTTCTTTGTAACCAAATAAACGTTATGTAATGTAAACTGGTGGTCTTACACGAAGGACAAGTAGCAATAATTTCATACTTTTATGTAGTGCTGTATTACCAGGAATGCTGATTAGAGGCACTGCCTGCGAATGTATATGAGTTACTATCTAGAAATATTACATTAAAATTCAAAGCTTTTCTTGACTTGGCCTGTTGCCCGATGTCATTACGTTTATCAATAACATATGTAAGGTATTCAATATACTTGTAGTATTATAAATGCCACAGAAAGTTCAATAATAATTTGTTAGCCGATATGTAGTTCTGATGACAATATAACTGAACGTCTATAATACATTGTACATCGATATAAGTTCCATCTGCATGCTGAACGAATGACGGTTATGAAAATCACCTTCGTGTTAAAGGATTGGCTATTTATCAAAGTATGTGGTTATGTATCAAAGCCTGGCAGACCTGGCTTTACTGTCATGTATCGAGACAGTTTAGTGAGGCAATAGAACGAAACACTTTTTATTCAAATTTGAGGAGATAGTCTAATTTGTTAATCCGATTCCCACACAGCAGATTAAGACTTCACGCTGTCGTCTGTTCTATGTGTGGCACAATCGAAACTAAACAGTACTGATGTCATAACAGTTCTTCTTCGCTAACTGATCTATGTCGGTTGTCAATACACCACTCAGCCGGCTTGTCACGTAGCTGTCTGACAATGGCAAATAATGTAATTTCGACAGTATATATTCGGATGTCTCCAAGTTCTTTTATAAAATAAAGAATGGGCATAGTTTAACTCGTTCACCCCTGAAATGTCAAAATGAACTATTCCAACCATTGAATTGGAGGAGTTCAAATGTGTCTTCAGGGTTGAACGAGTTAAAGCAATAAAGCCAACCGTGACATTCGAATGGTATTCTACTTTCAGACACCATTTCAAATAGAGTGTCGCCTTTGATGGCATGTGACAAAATATTCTAAATATTCATGGAAATATTTTAAAGCAATAAAGTTTGAAAGTGATTTCGGCGTGATCGGAAGCTTGCCAAACTTACCTGTATAATATATACAGGTGTGACACAGGATAGGACAAACCCATTCAAACATGCTCTCAAGGATCGAAAAGTACGCAATTACCATAAGCCGGACATCTAGGGGAAATATTTGACTGAATTACCCAACAGTGAAATCAAACTACAACTTCTTTTAAACCGTACGGTTATGTTTGGTAAAATAAATTTTGAGAATCACTCACCCAACTATAAGTATGTTATATTATTCTAGAAGTGTTCTTCGTGAAATGTAAAAGTATAATTTACGTCAACAAAAGAGAAACGTAACAATGAAATCGCTCCATAAATACTCAACAACGTATTGAGTACATTGTTCTATCGTATTGGGACTCTTTTGTGTAGGTGGTGAATCTCCTTTTGCCTACTCCTCGTGCTTTGTCCCGCGAAACCGTTTGTTTCATCTGTATTGAGAAAGCAGTGTAAATATTGGATAGAATTATATAGGCGGCACATTATTTGTCGGTGATTTTTGCCGGCAATGCTTGACGAGAATTAGACGAACGTAAATCGCATTGACTTATGTCACAAAGAGTTCTAGACTTTGGTTTGTAGTGTGTTAATTGTTCACAATAAATGTATTGGGAACGCAGCGTAAATGTTAGTCAGAATTATATCAACGGCGAATCGTTCTCAGTTATGTTTACAGGCGGTGCTCGTACATAATCAGAGAAAAGCTAATCGGATTGACTTGTATTAGAAAGACTGTACTTCCGGTTATAGGTTGTTTTTGTTTTCCAAGTTTAGAGGTTACAGTTTATCTGACAGAGCTTGACATCGAAGATGTTATGAACCTGTTTCTACTACCTCGAGATAAGTTAATACAGTTGTAAAAATTTAGTCTGAAAAACGGTACAATGTCAATCACTATTTTATAAAGTGCAGGTTTCAGGTCAGAGCTCCCTTTCTATCAATTAGTCAGTTAAGTAATATCCACTAACTCGAGATACATTTTTAATTGTTTAAATAATGATAAATATCAAAAGCGGTAGGATGTGCATCACTAGTTTATATAATTGTGGTGTCAGGTCAGAGCTCCCTTAATATCAATTAGTTATAAAATGGGTGTTATGTAAATCGAATTTGGGGTCAGCAAATGTAGAGGTACTCGAGCTGAATAAGACCGCACCTAACTGTAAACAGGTAGATGCGATAACAACAAACATGTATAAACTGTGGGATTTACGGC